TCTCGCTCGCTTCGGCTGGGATCGGGCGTGAATTGGTAGCCGTTCGGCTGTCGATGGACTCCCCTTCGGCGATTTCCAACCGGCGTTCGTGGCCCCAACCCCATTCCACGGAGGTTCCCCTAAGCCGCGTGAGAAGTGCGGCGCGAGTGGCTGGCGCGGGGGACAGCCGGGGGTGTGCGAGGCGCGGCGGCCAATCGCGGCGCCGGAAACAAAGGGCGTTGCCTTCCCTCGACAAATCAATACTCGCTGCCTGAAGATCTACACGTAGCATTCCTAAACCACGTGACGCACTTGCATCATTCGCCCCAATTAAGAAAGAGGGTCCGTTTTTCCGTTTCCGAGGAGGATGTAAGCGTCACGTAGGTATATGATATTCCTGCCTCGAGCCGGTAGTCTATGAGTACGCGGGGGCGGGGAAACAGCACAATGTCACAACAAGGGCAAACAACAGAGCATGGGCTTCATTCATGCCTCCTCGGGTTATGCTGCGGTTCGTTAGTCTCCTGATCAAGTGATTGTGTAGGTTAGGAACAAACAACAAACAATCCAAGCCGTGTTGACAGTAAATCTCTGGTCGATGCTTTGAAAATACCCCCCCCCCCGACATAAATAGAAAAATATTTCTTTTGGGCCTTTTTTCACGAGACTAAAAGCAATCTGTGATACGAGATAAGATATCCTTCATTCATTTTTCAGCGAGCAACTCCACATCTGACAGTCACATTTTTTTTACACAAACATTCAGTAGTAGATAGCATAAACACATGAACGTATGCACTCACAATAACCACACACACACGCACACGCACACACACACACACACACAAACATGAAAACAAATACAAACAGAAACACATGCTACAAACTTAACCACACACACAAATAAACACACTGCACGCACGCACTCACGTTTATACATAAATGATGGCGGGCGCGCGAGCACATACGCAGGGAAAAGCACACGTGAAAATAGCGTCAGCTGAAGGGAGGGACTCGGCCGGTGACACTCGGCGTAAGTGCACATTCATACTGAACTCGTGAAGGTCCACCTCTCGCGGTTTTTCTGCTGAGATCCATTTAGGTTATTTCCTTTGCGTATTTTAATTATCTTGGCTTAATTAACGGCAGCGTTTACGAGTTAGCTTCGAGATTTTTCTGGAACATTTGCTAAAATCACACGTGATTTGCTGTACATTCTCGTAACAATATTTTACCACGAGGACTGTCCAATAATTACAGATTTTAAAACGTGTTTTTATTATCGTCCAGTTAAAAAATAGATTCATGAAAGGAAAAGAAAAAGAAAAAAATAGAAAATTATTCATTCGTCTATTTACGCTATCTCTCTCTACCAACGCTCGCCCCGCCATGCTCACCTTCAGTACCATCAACAAGTGTCACTCAAAAAAAACATAAACTAAAGCCTTTCTGGAGAGCCCAATCGAACACAAACGATTCCAATAAACCACAACACGCATCTCGATTACTTTCCCATTCCGTCAGCACAAGGGAAGGGAATTTATCTAGCTCTGTATCGCTCGCAACCTTAAGAAAAGAACTGGTTTTTAAGCCGTTCCAAACAGGTTTTCGAGCGTAGTAGAGTAAGCGCTCAGCCCCATGACTCGAGGATTAGCAGCCGACTGGAAAAAAAACATAAGGAAGACAATATCCCAGTACTCGAGCACACCTAGTACGCCTGGATCCCATCATTTGTAGAGAAACAAAACACGTCTTCGGGATTTAGTGCCTTGGGTGTTCACTTTAAGCGATTTGATACGATTAAAGGGAATTATAAACACGGAACATTAGCCGGGGACTCGAAGCAGGGATCATATGCCCGAGATTCGAAGGAGAAAGTCACATTTTCTCCATGAATATCATCAACTTTAAAGATTTTATCGGAAAAGACAAGTTTTTGAGTGGCTGATTATGGTAGAAGAGGAACAGGAAAATGTTTATGCAATAAAATGAATGATAAAAAGCCAGGTACAACATACTCAAAATTGGAATGAAAATAGATAAGTAATAATGTAAATTATTTAGATGTCAGTATCAATAAATAACGGTGAAAACAACGTCATGGTATACGACACTAAACATAATGGTAATGACAACGTGCATAATTCAGGATAATTATTACTAAGCAGCACCATTAGTGTGGATTATGCGTATTTCCTTAATCCGTGTTGCCGGTCTGGCCAAGATTTTCTTTTTTCTCTTTCTTCTCCTTTTAACAACTGGATGCCCTTCCTGACGCCAACCTCTCACGATTATCCTTCGTTTTTATTTATACTACTATTTTTGAACATTTTTTGGGGATATGAATCTGAACAGTTCAGCTCGTATCGCGATCCTGCCTGCAGACGCAAATGCATCAATAAATACAATAATAATAATTTATATAATGATAATGATGTCTGATGATGTTAATGGTTATTATCAGCATCATTATAATTGTAGTAGCATTAGTAGTATTATTACTGCTAGAACTACTAATTCTATTACAACTAATAATAATAATGATAATAATAATAATGATGATAGTAGATATAGCTACTAGTACTACTACTACTAATGATGATGATGATGGTGATATCAGTAATAGTAATGATAATAGTCATGATAAATAAAAATAACAATAATAATAATGATAACAACAATAACGATGGTAGTAAGTGATAACACCGACTTTAACTAAACAGACCAACAATAACACTGATAATGATCATAATAACAGCAACATGTTCCTCCCCCAGTGGCACTGAGGTGGAGAACCCCCCCCCCCCCCAGCCGGCCCAAGACGTCGCTGTTCACCCTACTACACGGGCGTCTGCACCGGTTGCCAATTAGGATATTTGTGAGTCACTCGCACATGACTACCGTAAGGAGGGCAGCGAGAGGGGCGCGTGAGGGGAAAGTTGAAGGAGGAAGGGGAGAGGGTTGATGAGGAAGAGGGTAAAGGGGGGGCTTAAGGGGGGAGGAGGTGACGGAGAGGGAAGGAAGAAAGGAAGGAAAGAGAGAATGGAGAAAGAAGAAGAGCGAGAAGCAAAAAAGGAGAATAAAGAATTCTTAAACAAATACACAAAGCCGACGAAGAGTAGATGCAACCCTGAAAAACAAACCAAAAAGTAAGGAGCAAATAAACAAGAGAAAACAAAAGCGATCGTTCATTAGATCCTTGCCTGTTAAGCCACATGCTGACATTAGTCACCACCTACCTAGCAGAGCCAGTCATTGCTGTACATTTGTTTTATTGCTCTTAAAGATCATAATAAGACGAGAGCATAAACCAAATATCTTGATACAGATTTCAAACCTTGCGGACAATAACCACTGTTTAATAATGCGAAGACGTTTCAATTCAAAACGACAATATTTGAGTAACTGGCGTTTTTATTTCCATATGCTTCGGGTCTAACCTCATGACGCTGCTATGGAGGAAGAAATATTTTTAGAGCAGAGCGTAGCCCTTGGCGGTCGTCCAGGAACACGTCTGCCGTAGCACCTTCTACATGATCGTCTGTTACGGTAATTTCGATCCTTTTTTGAAAGATGATTTGATTTTATGTCGCAACGTTGTAAGGGAAAACCGTTTCGCTGTAAAGAAAGGAAGTAAATTTCGCGCGACTGGAGGTATGAGGAAGATCAAAGAAGCACACTCCCCTCGTGGCCGCCAAATACTCAAGGTTAGTTCTTTTTTAATTTGTTTTCTTTTATTTTTCTGTTTACTGTCCTTGGTGCCGAGGATAAGGCATTAGCCGTTCACTTCGCTGTACGTTTATCACAAATTTAACCCATTGCGGGCCGGCTTTTCCGAACTTCTTGACCTCCTGCATTTTTTAAATATCTTCCTCCGAATCTCGTCTTATCTGCGGTTATCAGTTCTTCACATCACTTAGTCACACACCTTATCTTTATTATCTCTTACACGCTGATTTCTGTCATTCGCAGATCAACGGGTTCGGCGGACATTGCCTCACCAGCGAGTGTCCTCCCCAAGCACAGTCCCCGAGCCATAGGCCTTCGGGATTGAAACACGTCCCCGGGTCAGGCCTTCCAGCGGGCGGGCGGGGATCAAGTGTCAACCAGTTCCTCGAATTATGCTTGGGGAAGCGGCGACATCGGCGCAGAGACTGCCCAACGAGAGGCTGGCTGATGACATAAGAGCAAAAAAGGCTCGCGTGGTGACGAAAGACCGGCTGATGCAACGGGAACGGAGGCCGTGCAACCGGGATGCGTCTGGAGGGATCGGCGGGCCAGAGGGTGCCGGAGGAAGGGGGGGAGGGGGGCGTATGGGTGATGCGGGGCAGGAGAATGGGTTGGAAGAACGCTTTTATTTTCTATGGGTTTGTATTCGTTAATGCAACACAGGTATGCGATGTAGAATAACGTGGGAAAAGAAGAAGCGAAAGGTTGTGAAAAGGTACTTTGCTTTTCGCCATAATGATGAAGAATCACTCCCTGCTAATGCGGAAGGCGGAGCAGAGGAGGGAGAATGGGGCGACAGGGAGGGAAAGGAGTAAGGTAAGAGGGAGGGGGGAAGGGCGACGGGAGGGTGAGACGGGCGGGGGACAGGCGGCGGGGATCACGCGGGCGGGAGGCATGGCGGAGGGCCGACCCTCGTGACCGCTGCCAAGGTCGTTTGCTTTCGCCGGAATACGGGTGGAAGGAAGAGAAAGGGCTCGGGTGTTTACGTCTCCGTGCATGTGCGTGTTTACGTACGTCGGTGCATTTGAGTCTATTCCAGAGTTCAGAAATGCGAATACTTATTTTACCCGAAGCGTCCGTGGATTTAAGTACACACGTAACTCCTCAGAACCTGCCGTGTCGAAGCGTAAACGTACTACATAGCATGTTTCTGTAAAGACCCGGTGCTGCGTGCATGTGGCGCTTGGATTAGCAGGTCCGCCAATCACTCTCGTGCCTGCAAGGGAATCCCCGAACGAAAATGAACCACACGAGAAAAACCCAATTGTTGGATTTTTTTTTCTTCAATTAAA